CTACTTTCTGACACAAAAAAGGGTGGGGAATGGAGATCTGTCCTGGACCTTTGGCAGCCCAACAAGTTCTTATGAAAACAATACTTCAAAATGTTAACCCTGGCAATGAGCCTTCTGGCATTACAACAGGAAATTGGCTATTGTTCATCAACCGTCACGGTGCATGTTTCCACGTTGCAATCCATCCTGCACACAGGCTATTCCTCCCTTTCATCCTGCCAAAGCAACACTATAAACACTGTGTATTGCCTTTCAGCCTAGCTGAAGTACCAGGAGTACTCTTAATGGTCCTCATAATCATTGCTACTCACCCCCTCAAGTCAGGGCTTATGTTGTTCTCATACCCGGGAATATGAATGGCAGACCCACACTATTCAATATTTCAAAAAGATAAGAATATCTTTAAGACCTCCCCTGGGATTTCAGATAAACAAAAATCACATCTGACCAAGACACAACTGACACTTATAGGCCTATCTTGACTGCTGGCAAGCACAAGGGAAACTATCTCAACACCATTTTTCCAACTTGTTTAAACTGACCATGCCCATCATCATCAGCCCCCGTGTCTCAGCCAGACATTGCCTATAGCTGCTCAGACATATGGCCACTACCATATTCCTAGTCCAACATGCCAGCGTACATAGGCAATGCCTACAGGGATGGCTTCACACTTGTTACACACCCCACAAACAGTCCCTGCAAAAACATTCCTGGCATACCCCACAGGATCTAGCACTCTCTTCAACCTCAAAATGTAGGCTGGCGGGGGTCCATTCCAGCAGTCTTCCCCCTCGGTCATGCTTAGCATGGATGCCTCTCTCAAAGGTCGGGGAGCACAGATAGCCAACCATACAATCCCATGATGCTGAGCATCCTCCTCAGTCATCCGGTCCATGCTTATGCCACTTGCCACTGCCTGGTGAGTGGGGGCAGAGCACAGCTCACAGGAGGAGGGTACCCGGGGGAGGGGGGGGAAATGGGGCTGTGGGCTACTAAAACTGACCCTGAGCCCATGGGGAAGCAGGTGGGGAATGGGATTGGGGGGCTGCTGGAACCTCATCTGGGTCTGTGGTTGGTTAACCACTGGTACCTCAAATTTAGTGGTGCCTACACAGCTGCATATGCCTAAGGATAGGCCTGAAATGTACAATCAGAAATGGCTTTCTTTCTGTGTCTGGTGTGTAACTCTGTGCCTGTCACCCTGCCTTGTACTCCAGGCCTCAGAAAACAGGGCCTAGCCAACCGTTCCATCAGGGCATGTCTAGCTGTAATTTCCACAATGCATGAGAAGGTTCATGGAGACACTCCCTTTGCACATCCAACGGTCAAAGAGTCTTAAAGAGAGTGAATAATATCCCCCCCCCCCCTTTGAAACAATTTACACTGATATGGGACCGTGACAGAGCATCTGCCCTGCACTGGACTTTTAAGGGCAAAATCCAGCCCTAAGCCATGGCAGTTATTGCTAATTAAGGCCCAGCTGGAGGGACCTGGCTGTCTGGGAAACAGGAGGCTTCCTGGAGGTAGCTCAGGGCTGGGGATGGAAGGCAGAGCAGGGGGAGCACCAGCAATGTCCACACCTCTGGCCTTTCTAAACAGCCTTCCAACTCCAGACACTTGCGGGGCAGCTACATGGGCCTATGTCCTTACAGTCACCAAACACTGTGCCCTAGAACATCATTCCTCAGTGGATACACAGTTCAGGCACATCCTCCTCAAGCACACTCCAGTCATACCACAGATGCCTGTCTCCCCACCACCCTGTCCTGGGCCAGATCCTCTAGTCTCCCCCTGCCAAGGCACAGAGTTGGGGTTACTGCCCCCCTGCAGAGCACCACTGATGCTGAACCAGTTCAGCTCCAAGAGGGCTCAGCACCCAGGAAACCAACCCTCCCAAAGGGACCAAAATCCCAAATAAATCCATCTTCCTCTAGGTACAATTTTTACACAGAGATAGCTTATAAGCTATCCGCTCCCTTTACAAATGAATGAGGGAGATGCACATTGGTAATAAACAAAAATATTTTTATTGAGTATAAAAAGTAGGATTTAAGCGGCTGCAAGTGAAAACAGTCAGGTCAAAGTACATTACCAAATTAAATTGACAAAATGTTAGCTAGTTCTAATCCACTATGAAACTTGTTGCATGCAAATTCTTATTGTAAACATACGTTCTTATCTCAGGTAAAAAGCTTCAAGTCAGAGTTCATCTTTACTCTGGCCTGGGTCTATGACTTCTTCAATGTTCTTTGTATCATTGAAGATACAAAGTAGTTTCAAAAGCCAGCTGAAAACAAAGGACTGATGTTTTCCCTTCACTTGAATGGACTTTTCCCCAGGGTGGGACCCCTTTGTTTAGCACCCCTCATACCCATGGAAAAATACCAGGTTCAAAATGGATTCCAGTACCAGATGGGTACTGGATGGGATTGGTCCTGCCTTGGGCAGGGGGCTGGACTTGATGACCTCCTGAGGTCTCTTCTATGAGTCTATGGCATGGTCTCATGTCCTTCTAGGACCAAACATAGTTTGGGTGTACAGAACAAACAAGACGCTTCACAGGTTGTTGGTTTGAATACCAGGTCATTAAGGCTATATCTAGACTGTATCCCTCTTTCGAGAGAGGGATTTAATTTAGACATATCAAAATTTCAAATGAAGCCAGGATTTGAATTTCCCATGCTTCATTTGCATAATCACGTCACAGCGGTTTTTTTGAAAAATGCTATTTCGAAAGTGAAACCGTGGTCTAGACAGGGTTCTTTCGAAAAGAAAAGCCTTTTTCGAAAGATCCTGTACTCCTCAAAAAATGAGGGCTGTAGTGTAGACACAGCCTTAGATCCAGAGCATCAGCAGAGAGCGGCAGAAGAGGCCACCAGAGGGGTTTACTAGGAAGTATAGTGGTGCTGAAGATGACCAGGAGCACCCAGGACTAAATTTCCCTTTTGTGTGTTCATTGTCATCTTGAGAGGAATGTGTGTGTTCACTTGGGGTCGGGGAGGAGAGAAGAGTTAGAACAGGTGCTGGGGGTGGAAGGGACTTTCCCTGCTGTGTTCCTGTGTTCCCTTGACCAGAGCTGTCTGCACAGCAGATGCCATCTTGGCCATGAAGGCGCTGAAGTTACAATATGTTAGTTGGCACCAAGACAGTTGGACCTGAGCACAGACCCTCATCCCAGGCATTGCAAACAATTGGCACAACTAATGCTGGTGAAATGTCTGGCTCTGCGTTGACTCCAGATGCCATGCAGGCTTTGCAGGCTTAAGGCAACCCAAGGTCTGGCTTGCTACAATGCTTTTCTTTTGCCTTGTGATGATAGGGGTTCTACAGTGGAGAAGGTTGTGTTCTTTTTGGCCCACCTAACCACAGGCCTCTCTACTGAGCCTGTCAACAAGGGGACAAGGCAAAGCTGCTTGTGGTGTTAACTCTCTAGGGCACTAGGAAATAGACTGGGATTGTATCATTTCACAGAGCCCACTGTCTGCAGGGAAGAACTCCCAGCTGCTCCAGAGGGCCCCCAAGAATGTCTAGGTGAAGGGCTAGATGCCCAGTAGGGGAAGAGTTCCATATCTGTATCTCCCTGTGCCATCCAGTCCCCCAGCCAAAACTGCATGTCAGAACTGCCTTCTCTGCTCCAGGGAGGCGCTTCCACCGGAGGCAATACAATGAGCAATCCATTTCCCACCAGAACAAAGGGATACAAGTGACAGGTGAGGAGCACCAGGCCCGGGTCACTGAGCAGCAATGTTCAGGCTGTTGATCCAGGAAAAGCCAGTTTGGTCAAATGTCTCTGGAGGGATTTTGGAGGGGAACACCACATATTGATTGGTGGACAGAGTGCAGAAGGCAGTCATTGGCTAAGGCATACTCTGTATGGTACACCCCCCTTGCTGCTGAGGCGTATAATCATGGGAAGGAGACCGAGGAAAAGAAGGGGGGGAGGCAAAGCCCCTCCCCTCACTTTGCTCAGGGAGCTTCCAAAGAGAATTATTCAGCAGCAGCAGCAGAGACCTGGGAAGAAGAGGAATATTTCAGCCTCTACTGTCCACATGCTACAAGTCTCCTGGGAAGGATGTGGACAGCCATCACGCTAAGCTGCTTGCTGCACTTCACGGCCACATCACCCATACTGTGAGTGATACCCAAACTCCATTTTAACCCAGTCATCAGGGGAACAACTTAAATAGAGGGACCATTTTCCCAGCTAGCCTTCTATCCCATCTCCTGCCACAGCCAATCAGATCAATGGGCTGTTATGTCTAGGATGGCAGCTCCTGAGCTAGATCAGATCTTTTATCCTTCAGGCCATATAGCCTGTCCCCTGTACTTCCAGAGCAGACCACTGGCCAAAGGTGTCTGTCATCCTCACCTTGCTGCACTAGGGCAGATTACTTAGCTATCTAGACTGCAGCCATAGGAGGCTACGGGTAGCTGGAGGGTGGGAACACTAAGGCGGGAGAGGAGTTGTTTGGGGGAGTCCAAGAAGATGAACACAGGAATGATAAGAAGCTGAACATAAAAATATCTCCAGCCTGAGCTAGCAGAAGACATTTCCTATGAGTGAGTGGTCAACTAATCCCCTTTGTGGGATCCCCATTGCTTTTGACATTTAAATTGTGTCTAAGAACAGCTTAGAAACAGCCTATCCCTCCCAGGCCTGCTGGGCAGTGTGTGTGTGTAGTGATGCCTGCATTTGTCACTGACTACTCACTCTGATTCACCTGTTTCCTCCTTGCTGCAGACATTACATGGTGGTGATCCCTGCAGACCTCCACTACCCATCATCCCAGGCTGCCTGCGTGCATGTCACTTATAATGCAGGGAAGCTCTTTGTGACCCTGCTGCTGGAGCGCTCTGGGGGACAGGATGTCTTGTTGCGAAAAGAGATCATGAAGAAAAAGATCTTTGAGTGCAGAAAGTTCCAGGTGAGCGTCCACCTGCCAACCCTTTTGCTCCTCCTCCAATATTCCCCTCTCTTCAAGGGCCATAGCATAGGGGCAGGTGGCTTGGCAACCCCTTGTGGCTGTACCCTGTGGATAGCCAGTGAGGAGGCCAGGAAGTGCCAAGTACAATGGTGCTTGGTTGTATGATGTAGGCACTAGTCCTGTGAGGGGCTGGACTGAGGCCCAGTAATCCAGTTCACACAGAGGCTGCCTGAGGGGAATGTGTGTGTATGTAATTTATAAGCTGCATTGGAATGGCTGATTCCCAGAAGAAGGGAATCTTTGTAGAGAGCTGGGGTGAAGGGGTTTGCCTAGGTTGTAACCCTTGAGTATAAGAGAGCTATTACGTAGCTGTGTTTTCTTTACTGAGGCTGCTGGACACAGGTAGACCCTGTGGCTTTCTCTGGTTCTCTCATTGACTAACAGGACCTGGGCTGCCTACTGCCACCACTCTAAAGACTAGCACCATGGAAGTGGTTGCTGAGTACACTGCTGCCCTCTCTCCTTATGCTTCTTTGCTAACTTTTTCTCCCTTTCTGTCCTCTTGGAGCCTTTGCCTACCCTCCCCCCCAAGCTATATGGGCTCAGAGGCATCACTAGTCTCCTTTCCCCTGCTATTGCAGCCTCCTCACTTTCAAGGAAATGGGCAAAGACCATACCAAGTGGGTTCTCAGCTGAATCTGGATCTGAGGATCTGAGGACAGGAGATTTTTCAGTTACAGGCAGTCCCCGACGTACGCAGATCCGACTTATGTCGGATCCGCACTTACGAACGGGGCTTTTCTCGCCCCGGAGCTCGCGGGCGACAGGACCACCCAGAGCGCAGCGGTCCCGCCACCGCGTCCTCTGGGGCGAGAAAAGCTGCTCCGGGTCTCCCTGGTGTGCTGGGGGGGACTCCCCCAGCACAGCAGGGAGACAGGAGCCAAGC